CCGGCTTGCTTTGGTTTTCTTCTGGCTTTCTGGACTGCTTGGCGGTGCTTGGAGGCCAGAGCAGCGGAGGGTCCCTGTGCGCCGCGGTGAGGGGTAGGGTAGCAGGGACAAATAACTAACGCGGGGTCCAGGAGTTACCTGTAAACGTGCTGCTCTCGCCATTACCGAGGCTGGCTCTTGTAGAGCGTGACTCTCTCTATTAAATACTGGCATTTTTTTTATTTTTTTTTAAAGGCTTTTCTTTTGTTTTCTTGGTGTTTTCCCATGTTTGTTCGCTGATGCTTGGGACCTGACAAAATTATTTCACCCTTAAAATCAAAAGAAAGAAGCTGCTGAAATCGTGATGCTTCATGACTGTAAATCCCCAGGAACAGGAAGAGAAACATTGCTAATTAGGAGTTTTCTTTAGTCCTGATGATACTCCGTTGTGGTTATGGGAAGAGAGGGCAAATGACAGGTTTGGCCACTTACTTCTGCAAATGCTTGCAGAGAGTTAAGTGTGCAGCTGTGGAACATCAGTGTATCTTAGGCATGAGGACTCTATTTTGCTGTGAGTTTTGTATGTTTTTTCTATTAGACAACAATCTTGCAACCCTTGTGCTCTGTGAAAAATCACAACCAGTCGCTGAAATTTGAGACAATTTGTCAATAAACTGTGAGTGGGAGAATACAAATATGTGAGGAATAAGAAAATTCTTTTAGTTTTCATTCTAAGCAGAGATAAAATTCTGTATTTTCATTCTGGGAAACTGTCTTCCATCCTGGTTCAGTCTGGAATTGCAAATCGGTTTGCTAGACTGCAAAACAAGCAATGCACTAACCAACCACATAGTCTGAAAGGAACATATACTGGTTCTTATTTATTTATTTATTTTAAACATTCACCACAGTTTGTCATTTATTGCTTGATCATGCATAGCATCTGTTTATAATGTACAATGTTTTATATTTGATTTATATTTTGTTGCATATGTGCCTTTAAAACATATAAACTTCTTCTATAGACTTTCTTTGTTTGATTTTTTTTTTTTCCTTTCTCCTCACATGTCTCTTAACATTCTTTACTGAACTAATAATGATATTGTTGAAGACTGGTTTCTTAAAAGCTTAATGCATATTAAAATTTTCCTTAATTCCTTTGTGATAACTTTTTGAGGCATGTTTTTCAAGTTATTTCTTGCTTCTATAGAACCATAGGGTAATACTGCATTAGTTAACAGCTGGTAGTTTAAAAACATTCAAGGTAGGAGCTTCTTAAGCCAGATGATATATGTAACATGATATGTAAGTTAATTTGTGTAAGCGACTGAATTCACACATGCCTTTTTGTTTTTATAGAAGTGCATCTATGTCAATTCAGCCTTTAATCTTATAGGATCTCCTGTACTGACTGGAGAACCTGATGGAAACCTTAATGCTTAGTAGAAAATGATTAGTTTTATACAAATACGTTACATAGATACAAAGCGCTGGTTCAGTGTAAGGTTTCTTAGCTGTTTCAAAGTTATCCAAGTAATTTTGATAGATCAGCCTTGCAATGATGAGTTCTAGACCAAATGAGGCCTTGGTCTGTCCTCTCACAGTCAGCACAGCACTAGTATGATCTTGCCACTCATTGAGTGAGCATAACATTATTTCAGCTGTTTGTCTGTGTGTCATCTAGATTAGATGATGGACAAGACAACTGCTTTATTGGGTAGTATGCAGAACCAGCTTAATCATTGTGAAACCATAGCTGCAATAAAAGTTTAGTTCCAAATTAATGTCAGTCAAAGTGTTGTTATAGATCACGTGTGGAATAGGAGGGCTGACTGCCTCTAATCATGCGATCAGAGTTTATTGACTGCTTTCAAGTTTCAGAGTTTGACTGCTTCCTGCTGGTGGTAGGATGAGATTTGTATGAGAAATAAATTTGTATTGCCCACAAAGTTTCTAGGCATTCAAGCATGGGCTTGTTGCGATTGGATGCTTGGGATTAATCCAGAGCACCTTAAATTGATATAAGTTGTACCATTTCCCTTTTCTGTTCTTAACATCTCTGTTATGCCAGCACTAGTGCCCATGTGACTGCACAGTAAACTGGATGCGGGGGGGTGGAATGTGGGATCAGTTTCTTGAACTGGATCCTCTCGGGCACCAGTGCAAGGGAAAGGGTGGGAAAACCTAGCTGTGATGCGGACGGGACTGCGTCTTTGTGCCTAAATTAGTTTCAGCTACCATGGATCTGCGCCCTTATTTTTAATTTTACGTTATAATCAATCTAGTGATTATGATCTACTGCTAAAAGCCTTCCTTTCTCCTCCATCCATGCTCTTTGGACATTTTCCGTAGCAACTGTGTGGCGTCACATCCAGTGTGAGAGGATGTTTATTGATGGTTTAGTTTTTGTTGGATTCCCTGAGGGAGACTGCAAGAACAGATTTTTATTCTGCTGTGCTTAGTGAAGTAGATGAGGAAGTCCAGGAAGACTACTTTATTTTTTATTTTATTGTTTTAACTTTAATTAAGAACTATTGATGCTACCTCTAGCACAATATGCCAGATGGTATTTTGCTCCTTGTAGTAACCTGTCCTAAAGTGTCTTTCTTTTTTTTTTTTTTTTCAACTTTTTCTCCATTTCTTTTTACTGAGCCAGTAAATTGCTATAAAGCAAAAAGTCATTTTTATCTTTTAATTTTTAAATGCTACTTTCACTGAATCTAATCACTAGGTGTCAACTTGATAGAACAGCAGAAAGCTTGCAGTGTTTTGCTGGGGTAGTGTTTTGCAGTTTTAGAGCATTGGAGCCCATGCTGAGAAAGCATGACAAGTGCCAGAGCTCAAGGCCCGTGCTGGCAGGAACAAAGTCCCTTCCCCTACAGTAGAGGTGATCTGTTGTATTGCCTTGTGCTCCTGTGGAACCAAAACCTGCCACACGCAGGAAGGTGACAAAACATGACTGGTGAGGTGAATAAGGAAGCAATCAACAGCAAAGTAGCTGAATATTAAGAAGAGTTGGGGGGAAGCTTTTTTTTTTTCCTTGCTGTAGCTGGACTAAGCATAGTCCTTTTTACAGAAAGTATACACATATCAGAAAGATTAATTCCTAATGTTTTGTTTGTGTACAAATTTTAACATTTTACCTTTGTTTCAATGAAGTATGTGAGTGAGCGCTCTCCATGGTTGAAGCAAACTAGATATCAGCTAGCAATTAAATTTTCAAATAAAACTAGTTTTATGCAGGCTAGCCGACTTGCTTCTTAAAAATCTTTTGTCCTTAGGCCCTGAATTAAGTTTGCCATTTCGCCTTACAGGCAACTGGTTATCTATTCATCTAGTCCGGTATATGCAAACAATCCATTCCATGCTTTCCATGTGTGAAATGTACGTCATCCTTTGCTGAAGAATAAGACCCAAGTTATTTTTCACATCAGATGAGATCCTAAGCAGAAGTGTCAGGAATATACTGTGTATGCTTCAGGTGAAATTTTAAAATGGAAACTGAATTAATTTTTATTAATAGTAGCTTTGAAGTAAAGCACAATGAACAGCTGTGCTCAAAGCATACTTCTTTGCTTCATCTTGCCTGGTGACTATGCTGACTGCATGGTAGGGTCTTTAGACAATGGTTAGAGTCCCCTCCCTTGAGCTGATTGTTCCATCTCTTTCTTTCTCCTCTTGTTGGTTAGGACTTAAGCAACAAATTTACACTTGTTAGCTAAAGTTAGGGTCATTTTGCTTTTGCCAGAGTCATTGGAGCTGCATTAACTCTTGGTGGTCTGTGCAGCATGTCAGAGGTATACAGGTTCCTTCAGATATTTAATAGAAAATCTTTATCCAAAAGAAGATGGTTTGATAAAGATAAAAAGCGGCCAGGGAGGTTGTTGAGAGTAGGTACATCTGTGTATGAAAGTGCATGTGTTTTGGATGCCAGTAATCTGCTGACTTTGTAAACTCAAGTAGTGGCGTTTAATAAATCTTCTAAACAGTGAGTATATTAATTCTATTACTCTGAGATGGCTTTCAGTCACTGTACAGAAAACAGAAATAATTGCCGTGTATTGGAGTTGTGCCTCTTGGATACAAGTAGTATGGAAATGCAGCAATCCAGTAGTCAGACAGTGAGTGTGAGTATGCATGTAGGCAAACTGAGTAGGTACAACTGTGTTTTATTGGTATAATTTCTCTTTTTTTATTTGGCACTTGTTCTAAAGTGTTATAACCAAAGGTTTAATGTAATTTAGCGTTTTCAGTAAGTATTTGCCATATTTAAAATGCATGAAACCTGAGTTCATTTCAAAGAAAAGTAATGAAATGGCTGAGTAAATTAGATAATGGTTTAAAAATCACTTTTTTTTTTAAGACAAGAGCACTGAGAAAAATCTCTGCTAGTTAACATGGTGGTGGCTTTAAAAACTGTTTCATCAGCGTCTAGCAAAATCATATAGATTTCCAATATAGGCTTCTAATTAAATGGAAAAGTTGGCTAATACTTGTTTGTTTTTGTCTTTTAGGCTTTAGAAAGGATGCGTCCTTATTTGTGTGACAAAATTATAGCTGAGAGACACTTCGATTACCTACGTTCAAAGAAAATACTCACTAGAGAGGACACAGAAGAGATTTCTTCTCGATCTTCTAGTAGGAAAAAAACTGGGAAGTTATTGGACTATTTAGCAGAAAACCCAAAGGGACTAGATGCTTTGATTGAATCTATCAGGCGAGAAAGAACACAAAACTTCCTGTTACAAAAGATAACTGACGTAGTGTTGAAAGTCAAAAATGAAAAACTTGAAGCTCTCAAAGGTGAGAAGTTTATGCTGGTATCTTTTACGATAGAAATTTTATTCTGAGGGACTCCAAAATTTAACTCCCACAGTTCTTTAATATGTGTTTTTTACAAATTTTTTCTTCTCCTAGTGTTTGGGACAACGTTCTTGGAAACTTTGTAGGGCAAGCAAACGGCACCAGTTTGGGTTTAAGATCCCAGGGCATGTGTCCTGGTTTTGTCATCTTACCGTTTGAGCATATCATAAATGACAAATTGCAAAAAATTACCATGGGTTATTATAATGAACAAGTCTGTTTCCACACTTCACTTTTGTTTTCTATGAGGTTCTAATACAGAACTCAAAATAGGTGGTTATCTTCCATCTTTCTTTTCTCTTGAAACTATTCACTGCAGTGGCAGGATGCTCTGGTTTTGTTAAAATGTACATGTTAACAGCGGATAAGCCAGCAAATGCAAGCTGAGGAGAATTCGTATGAACACCTTCAATGCTAAAACTTAAAGTGAGACTTTATGAATATGTACACGTGTTGCTTCGTACAGACAGGTTTTGTTGACACAAAAAACTAAGTCACTATCTGTACTTCTGTTTTAAGGCAGAAAATGAAATTATAAGCCTTCAAAACCAAAAACCTTATTTCCCCTTGCACACACATCAAAAGAAAAATAAAGAAGAGGTGGGCTGGAATTTTCTCTAGCTTCACGTAGAACTGCCTTCGAATGCAGTCCACTCTGGATTAGAAGTATGTAGCTGAAGCTTTTAAAAGTTTATTTGAAGAATATAGTGAGAAAAATCTATCAAAAGATAGGCCAAAGAGCTCAAAATTCCTGAAGTAAAGTTAAACGTTAGTACATCTATGTCAGCTAGCTAATAGCTGACCTTCACTGGTAGGTATAGAGAAACTCATTCACGTGAGCTGACTGGACAACATGTATGTATTTACTAAGTCATCATGAACATTGCAATATCACATGCACGATAAAGAGGATAGTCTGTTAAAAATACTAGAGCGTGATCTTTGATAATGTCTTACAGATACTCGGGTACGGTACAGGTTTGAGTGCATCATGTTGCAATTAAATTTAGTCTCTGTTTCTGTCTTAGGTCTAAGCTGCAGCACCTGTATGACCTCATTGTATGGAGGAACAAATAACCTTTCTAGATCATATTCTGATGAGTCTAACTTTTTTGAAAAAACAAAAGACAAAGAATCTACCCAGATACATCATCCAGAAGAAGAGTACAGTACTGCTGCATTTGTGTCTGCTGTCTCTCTTCGTTCAATGAATTTACCAATTGCAGAGATGGGAAGTACAGAGAACGTGGTTTTCTCGGGCCCCCTTCCAGGACCTGGAGATCCTGGTGCACCACCTCTCCCACCAGAACTTCAGTCAGAACAGCAAGAACCTTCTACCAGTTCAAGTGACAATGTCTTTTTGCCTTTAAGGTCACGTTCTCTTCAGCCACAGTGAACTGGAGTGACTTTGTGTGTTCATCCAAAGGGTATTGAAATTTTGTGTGATGTCTTGTAAGGATAAATGTTTTCAAACTGTTAATCTGCAAAATCAGAGAAATAACCCGTGCTATTTACAAAAATACCGAACTCCTTAAAAACAGTATCATCAGGTGACACTGTAGCTGCTTGATTTTTATGTTCTTTAGGGCGCTTTTTAAAAAAAAAAAAAAAGGTACTACACCAGCAAAGATTTGTTTTTTAAACTAGCTTATTTAGGGTTTCATATTTTAATGTTAATTGCAGATATTTAAGCTGCAGTTTCAGAACAGCGGTTTATTTTATGTTCCTACAGTAACTTTTTCCCCCCCTAATGTTTCTGTGACAGGTGGGTGGGAAAGATGCTTAGGAAAAGAACTTGAGTATTAAAAAATAACCTTCTGAACTTAAAGCTTAAACTCACTTCCTGAAAAGCTTAAATTAAGTGTTTCTTTGTAGGAGAAAGTCTGCCTTCCGTGTAGAGGTGTGTAGCTTCCATTGCAAAAACTGAATCTGACCAAATCTGTAGCTATGCTTGTTTGTAAGAACTCTTTTAATTTTCTGAACTTTGTTCTTTGTGCTAGTAGTAAGTTGAAAGGCACTCAATATTGCAGTGATTTGAGTAGGTAAATATGCTTCCACAAGTTTTAGCATATTATTCTTGTATATTATTTAGAGATTTCTGATTTGAAATGCACTTTAAATTTAAAATCACATGGAATACTGGAAAGGAATGTAAACTGCTGTGACCACATCATGTGGACTGTAAGAAAATCTTACTCTATAATGCTATTAAGGAGCAAAGTGTGTATGCTTTGTCCCAGTAGATAGGTAGAGGAGGAGTCCAGTAGCAAGAAAGTATCCTTCACTGAAGGACTCCTGAAAATGTTGCACTTCAGATATGTACTTGTCAAAGCAGATAGACACGTTTACATTTCAAATTGTTTGGAGTCAAACACATTTAAACTATTTCAACATGGGAAGGTTCTCATATTTCCTGATACGGTTTAACGTGCTATATTCCTCATACTCTCCTCCTAAGTTGCAATCTACTTTTTATGAAGCTGGCTTAAATCATTTAAAAATTATTCGCCAAAGACAAGCTCTTACTCAAAAATGTGTATAGGTAACTGTTCTGCATACTACATTTTAAAGTGATGCTTTCAGTATATCAAAAGGTAGGTTTGTATTTAAGGCTTTAAATTAATTTGTCTCTCATAGACCACTATAGCCATTTTATTCTATTTAACCTCAAGCCAGGTAATATTTCTAAACATGTTCTCCTTGTCTGGAGTCAGAGACTTTGCAAGACCACAATACAGTCTCAATGTTTTTGTCATATTTGCTCTGGTTTTGGAAGTAGATTCAAATAAACGGCAGTGTTTAACTACATTCCATCTTTAGTATATAAGTAACTTGCCCACATCTGATAAAGATGTGGGCTTTTGTATATTGTTTATAAGAATCCTTGGTTTTGTGAACATCTAAGGTGGCAGACCATCCTGATGGTCAAAATGCCTCTAAACTGCTTCAGTTCTGAAGGCGCTCTGGGAGTTAAGTGCCTAAATACAAGCAAATATCTTACTCTGTATCATGAAGGTTAAGGGTTTGTTAAATGCCTGTCTCCTATAAACTTGAACTGTAGTTGCACATACTCAGGGTATTAAAATATATATATATATGTAGGTCTAAATGCTCCCTCTGTCACTGCAACTGCTTTAAGAGCTGCACTTGTATTCCCAAACCTGTTTTACTGCTTTGTTAAAGCTTAGGTTTGGGTCCCTTCATTGCTGTGAGCCCTTGATTCCTTTCCAGCCAATGGACACATCAACTTCCCTTTTAAGTGTATTTTTAACTCAGTTTTAGAAAAGCATTCAGGAGTTTGCATGAGAGTCTGCTCTGTGTTTACTTGAGCTTCTTGGACTCTTGTAAATGGAGGAAAGAGAGAGAGAGAGAACAAGCTTGCCGCTAACTAGTAAGTGCATCAGCTTAAGGCAAGCACTGTCTTGTAACTGTAAATCGGAAGGTATAATGTGTGCTGCCTACCACGCTGCACAGTGTGCAGTAGGTCTTCCTGTGCAGAGAGCTCTCCTGCAGTGGAGCTTATTAAACCTGAGATTTTAAATGAATGTATAATCTTACCAAATATTTGTAACATGCATTTCTTTTTAATTTGTGAAATATTTTTATCACAACTTTTGAAATAAAATTCTTTTGCGTAATAGCCTGTTTTCCAGTCTGTCTCTAACATTATTAAAATGCATAGGTTTTAAGAGCAGTTCAAGGTAGTATCTGAGTGTGTGGTTTTGGGTCTGTGCGAGTGAGAGGGTTTTGTTCTCTTTTTCTTTTAAAGAGAGAAGGTTGTCTTTGGTGGAAAGACTGACTTAATGTGAAACACCTGTGCCTGCAAGACTGCATTCAAGAGCAGTGTGTAGGAGAACGTGCATGCGAAATGAAAACGTCGTCTCCTTAGCTGCAGTTTCTGTGGCTCACGACTAGCATCAGTAACCTGATTCTTTATTTTTAAATTACTTAATACTTCAACTTAAAGATGCACCATGAGAAATGTTGCTTCCATCCATGCATGTAATAGCATCAGTCTTAATTTAAGATTTTTGAAAAGCAGAGGAGAAAGAAAATCCTCAAGCGCTGAGGAGTGTGGCTGAAAAAAGGAGGGTGCAGGAGTCTCGAGTACTGCAAGGAGCGTGGAGGGTCCCTTCAGTGTTTGTGTTTTCCTAGTACTTTGGGTGTAGGGTTAGTTTTAAAAGAGATTCTTTTATAGTATTGATAATGAGAGATCAGCTAGACAGTTTAATACCTTTCCAATAAATTAACAGATCATCTTATAACCAAAGCCTCTTGGTCCTTTTCCTGCTTCCTTGATAGTATGGTGTAAGCACTGCTAAGAAGAACTTCTAGCTGGTTCAAAAGCAGATGTTTGGGCCTTCTTGACGAAGAGAAGTCTAGTGAAAATATTTCCCAGCATATTTGTAAAATCTACAAAAAGAATCTACAAAGTCTTGGGAAAGACAGACGCCAGGACTACGTAAGCTAGACCTGGATATGCAATGCTTAGAGCTTAAACTACCCCGGGTTAGCTAATATTCTAACATACCGAGTAAAAAGCTGCTTATCCTAGCTCGGCCTGCAGGTGTCAAAGAAAGGGTCTCGGGTTCATGTCTTCCCCCCC